GAGAACAGTGTTTTTTTTTCTCAATGCGTATAAGCCCTGTGAGAGAATGTGTTGAAAGTTTTGACTCAAGAGGAATTGATTTAGGCATGCATATAGAAGGTGAGCGTGGTCATAACAACTAGGGTGATTGCACAGTGATCCCAAAACACCTGTTCATATCTGTTATCCAGTTCAGTACGTCTCTCACCATAATGTCTATGTTAGGTTAGTTAAATGTAATTACACGGACACGTTGGCTCTAGCATAGTAGCCCCTCTATGTCAATTTCCGAATTTAATAAAACTTATCAATATCACATAGTTCACCGAAACGAACACTCCAGCTACAGTCTTCCAGCACACGTTGCTAAAGAGCATTAGACGCGGCATTTATGATTTGGAGGTTACTAATTCACGTGATACGTTCGGATACGTCACTAACACTATATACAATGGTTCGTTCGAAGGTCAAGTTCACGCATGACACGCAAAGTCAACGACTCCTGTTGTTCCCGGTTCGTACAAAGAGACTTCGAATCATGATTTCCAGGAGTTCACGGTTCTATAAGTTCTATTTACCAGCACACATTTGGTATTAGTACCAAAATGGATACTTCGGGGATTACGTCATTTGGGTTATAGCAACCAATCACGAACAAGGACGACAAAATGGAGGATTATCACGTAATCTGAAAAAAAAAATACCACGGGTCACAGAAACACGAAAATCGTCTATTGAGAACGTTTAAGTCGAAGAGCAAGGAGGAGTTTAACTAAATGTATATTCTCGGGGCGGACACACGGACATATTCACCGCCTGGCAACCATCACGGTGAAAACAAAAGCCGAAAACGCTCAGAAAAACGGTACTTTGAGATAGTTCTTGAGACTCCCCTAAATAGTTCAACAAGATTAGCCCTTCGGCTATATATTAAAAAACTATCTTTATTACCATTTTTATTCCACGATTTTTTATTTTTATTCATCGCTAAATAAAACCATAGACAGAGACCGTTACACTGAGCATATCCGTTACTGCAATACGGTCGTAAGACTAGTGTTTGGTTAGTGCTATCTTCGGTCAAGTTGTTGAATTTGAAAGGAATAACCCCCCCCCCCGAGGCTAGTACACGAAACGCTTTGACCAAGTTCACGACACTTACACACAAGCGAATGCGAGCGCAAAAAACAAATATATATTTTCAGACTTTCGTTGACAAAGTATTCAACCCTACTGTGTGTTATAACGTGTTGGTTTTCTTAAACACAGAAAACCGTGGTACTTCGTATATTTAACCACGGGTTGCAAACACTCTCTCGAACAATCGAAACAACCTATTCAGGCGATTGAAATGATGGTATAATATAATAGTCGAACTCAAGTTCACACAAATTATTTGTGTGTTTTTGAAAAAAAACAATATATATATAATGTTGTCTTTGTCGTGAGAATCTACCAGCAAATAAGTAATAAATACAATTAAATATATAAAAAATAAATAAATATTCATATTTCAAAAATATCGTGTAATATCGTTATGGTTTATGACGCGCGATGACGAATTCCACACGCGATTATTTGCATATTCAGTTGGGAGATTTTAAAAT